TTCTCCGAGCGTTGACCGCGATAGCACCTGCCCGGTTGTGATATGCGAGGAGGCGCTGACGGTGCAGCTGGGGGATTGTTTCCCGGTCTTCGCTGCACAGGATGAAAAAGGAACTTCTTCGCAAGATGTGCCTTTCTGCATGGGACCGGTTTTCTGATTAGAAGCTTCTTGAGACGAGTATCATGCTGAGTTTCCCGGTGCTCTCGGTGCAGAGTTGGGTTGAAACTCATTTCTTCCATGTGCACAAGAAGCTTGCTTCCCGACCCGGCCTTCAAATTACTCCGGGTGTATCAACTCTCCCAAGGGGTGTGACGTTCAATGGTGGCTTCTCTGCTCGTCCGCAGCATTCCGCAGCTGCCCAAAACACAGCAGTGCCTGAAAAAACCTGAAGCTTTTCGAGACTCCAGCACGCCATAATCCACTTAGCACAAGAATCCTTAGAAATCCAGCACGGAGAGGCACGCAGCTCCGTGCGGTGTGAGTCGCGAATGTTTTTGATATCGAAATCAGGGTGTCGTGCGCGAAGTCATAGGATTCGGGTTCAGGATTGCTCACAGAGCCTTTTAAGCCTCGAGACCATGTGCCATGACATCCCAAACCCTAAACCCTAAACCCTAAACCTTAAACCATGCGTTTCCGGCATGATGCGCCTGGCCCTCTGCCTCTGGCTGTCTCCAGTGGTCGGGAGCCTCGGTTGGTGCACGGAGGGCCGCCAGGCCGGAAACTTATCACAGTGTCGTTTAGGGTTTGGGGTTTATAGGGTTTAGGGTTTAGGGTTCCTGAGAAGAACGGGGACCGATGCCTTCTTTTAGCAAGGATCTTGTGAATGTGTGGTGAGGTAAAGTTTTGCTGCGTATACTGAGAAGATTTTTGTTGACCCTGGGTCAATAAACCCTTTTCCCTTGACAGAGGCTTCAATAGGCCATAGGGCCATAGGGATCCGAGTCTCCGGGCCCTCTACAGGAAAGGGGAGGTGTGCTCACGTATAGGGGCACCCTTTATGATACAATAGAGTCATGATCCTAGTCCGCTGTTTCACGCGTCTCCCTAAACCCTAAACCCTAAACCCTGAACCCTAAACCCTAAACCCTGAACCCTAAACCCTAAACCCTAAACCCTAAACCCTAGACCTGACAGGCCGGAGACCTCTGCTGTGGCCGGGTCTGCGAGAGCTGTGGGCCTTGCGGCTCCGAAAAGCGCAAGGACCGAAACCCCGGCGGCGGCGCCTGCTGCGAGGCCCTACCTTAAGAACCCAAACCCGACTTTTTTGTAGGGTCCCTAGAAGTCCCATATTAGGGTTTATAATCAGAACCTACAAAAAAGTGGGTTTTGGGTTCTTAAGGTACCTGCAAAGCCCAAACTGGGGACGATCTTATCAGGGCTTTACTAAGGAATCCTAAAACCTAAACCTTAGAGGCCCCTAGAGGCCTTAGAAGCTCACCTAATTTAAGCTTTAAGAATCGAATTATTCGGAAATCCTCGGTATCCTGGAATCTTGTGGGAAAGCCATCTTTGGCTTGAAGTGCGAGGCCTATTTGCGGCGGTTGGGCCGGCGTTGCCACTCGGCCCGGGACGTCTTTTGCCTGGTGCCAGCTGGGACGCCTGCCAGAAAGTGCTATTAAGCTGAGTTTGGAATACCAGAATAGCAGAATCGGGAAATCGCGCAACAATCTACCACGATTGCCATAATCCTAACGAGCTCCTTAAGGCATCCGCCACGACGCCGTGGGAATGAGAGCTGTGCGGCGGCCGTATCTGGAAGCCTGCCGCTTCTTAGCGGTGCCTTTGTGGTGAAGGAGCCAAGCTTATCGAAGTTTGAGCTTTACACGAAAGCCATCCATGCATGGCATGTTTGCACTGAAATGCTTGGCTCGGCCTTCTGGGAGTTTCAGTTGAGCGGCTCAGATTGGCCGATACGGCGCATGAAGTTTCGGCATCGTATCTTCGAAGAGGAAACCTTGCACGTCTTTCTGTGTGCCCCAAGCCCTTCACCGTACACCGCGGTCCTTGTGTCAAGCCGAGCTTGTGTAACCGTCGAGGCTCTATTAAAGGAGGCTTTGCCAGTGACGCTTGACTACACAAAGCAGCTGAATGGTGCGGTGATGGACCAAGACAGCCCGAAAGGCACGGCCAAGTTTGTGTTGGGGGGATGGGACAGGCACAAAGAGGTCGTTGAGATGCTAGTGTCCTTGAAGCAGCGTGCGGTGCAACATGAACTGACCCTAGAGACACCGGTGCTCCGGGCGGCTGTTTGCGTCGCGGGCCTTGCCCGCAGCTTCCACTTGCCTCGGGTGCACGAGTCCATCGCGAATGCCACCAGGAGCCTGAAAGCTGAAACTCAGATTTTCTACGTGCTGGACCTGCAGGGGCGATCTCTAGAAGAGTTCGATCAAGGCTTCACAGCCTTGCCTCCGGACGGCATGGTGCTTTACGATGAGGTGCGCGGAACTGGTTTGAGGATGGGGCAGTGTCATTGGACAGCAGCAAAGTACGCTCATAAGCAATTTGAGAAGTTTCACAGCTGTCAGCATCTCATCACAGCGGCCGAGAAGGCACAGCGGCGACGTTTCGACTGGGTGTTGCGGTTGCGCCCAGACTTCGAGTGGCTGGCACCCATAGGAAACCTCAGGGAGTTCACCACCGAAAAGGTGCACATTGTCATGCACTGGATCCACCCAAATAAGTTCCACGACACAACCGACTACTTCGCGCTTATCCCGCGCAAGTACATGGAGGTTTCCGAAAATAAGGGACCCTAATATAGTACCCTAAATAGTAAGATCCTTATTATAAAGACCCCCAAAAGGTACCCCTAATTTTCGGAAATTCCCACATGAAGGCTTATTTCAGCGTGGGCTGCCCACCACGAAGATGGACCCGCATCGCAGCCTTGGAGGACCTGTGCCACGGTCTCATCTGCAGCCGGGCCCGCGCTAAAAATGCCTCAGATAGAGCTTTCGTATACCTTCAGAACCTAAAACCCACTTTTTTGTAGGTTCTTATTACAAACCCTAAAAATGCCTCAGATAGAGCTTTCGTATGGGAGTTTCAGAAAATTAGGGTACCTTATTTTGGGGTCCTTATAATAGGGATCCTATTGTTTAGGGTACCATATTAGGGTCCCCTATTTCCGGAAACCCACGTATAGGAAAAGCAACAAGCAACAGGTTCTGATAGGGATACACTATACCGAGCTACACGCAGTTTGCAGTTCGCTCCTTCATGCACATACTAAACGATGCGCTTTCCTCAATTATGGTCACGTAATTTCATCCCCTTGTACAGCCTCACCAAACACGCGCAGAAAGGTTATTGTGGCAGCTGCACTTAAGTAAGTTCCGTGGCCGTTATCGACGTGTAGTAAACAAGATGCTTTCCTTACGGCAGTTGAAAGCCGTCCGAATCCGTATACTCTTGAGGCCCAAAGGCCCTATACCTTAAACTACCAAACCCTACTTTTTTGTAGGTTCCGATTATAAACCCTAATATGGAATTTATAGGGACCCTACAAAAAAGTAGGTTCTGGGTTCTTAAGGTATAGCTTGGTAGGAAGAAGCCCCGAGGTAACCAGTCGGACTGCACAGCGCAGCCCGAGTGCGCCTTGCTGCTTCATCTCCGAGCCCATGGCGTCCCCGTGGAGCCCTTCCCACCCATCGCCGGGACCTTAGCGCTTTCGGTGCTTTTGGGGTTTAGGGTTTAGGGTTTAGGGCCACCCATCGCCAGGACCTTAGTGCTTTTGGTGCTTTTTGGGTTTAGGAGTTTAGGGCTATCGTGGTAAGATGCTCATGCCACTTCATGCCGAAAATGCTCATACTAGCGGGCAAAACGGGGCACTGCACGGGCAATTCGTCTTGATCACCCCTACAGAGAGCACTGAGGTGAGAATCTTGCGGGAGTCCACCTGCCACCCTGGAGACTTCAAGTGTCTCCACGGCTGGTGGGACCTGAGAGCATTGGAACGGTACCCCGAACAGTGCTTCTTGTGCAATTTGATGTAAAGACCGCAAAAGTGCTCTTCGTGTGCCCCTCTCCAAGCCCGACCCCAAGACAAGTAGCACAGGTGTCGGACTATCTAGTGATCTACCCCTTACAGTTTCTGGAGTATCGCATACCGCAAAAGCCCTATTCTAGGCTCCTCCTAAACCCTAAACCCTAAACCCTAAACCCTTAAACCCTAAAACCCTAAAACCCTAAAACCCTAAACCCTAAACCCTAAACCCTAAACCCTAAACCCTAATCCTATATCCGACTTGGGATGTGTTGTGTGGAAAAGCACTCCCGGCTTTCTTCCGGCACCGAAGGCCCGAGCTCAATGGCCATTCAAGGCTAGGAGCTGAACTGGTTTAGGGTTTAGGGTTTAGGGTTTAGGGTTTAGGGTTTAGGGTTTAGGGCCATTTCGGGACTCCTTCTTACAATTTAAAGTAATATATATGCCCCAAAACCCTATTCTAGTTATCATTATAGTATATATATATATATATATATATATGCCCCAAAACCCTATTCGAATGATCCTCACAGTAGTAGAAGCCCCCCCTCCCTTATTCATTAAGCCCTTCAGGCAGGATCTGCTTCGCGAGGTGGTACCTTGGGCAAAGCCTTCGGTTTTCCTTGTCCCAAAAATTTCCTAGAGAGGTACATGTTCGACACATGGGATCCCTAAATTACTGCCGGGGTTCAGGGACGTGGGAAAAGTGGCTTTTGTGAGCTTTCTGTGCCATTGTCACTCTATCATGTCCGCCTGGACTTCGCGATGCCATTTCCTGGACCAAGCCGTGAAAGCTCGCCCGTGGGGTCGGGCGTGAGGGTGGCCAAGATGGGTTACGGCGTTGGACGAGGGTGCGCCGGAGGGTGTCTGCAGGGTGCGAGCTGTCTCTGCTTTCCATAGAGGGGAAGAGCCCCAAGCCTGAAATCATAAAAGCTCTATAATTTTCAAACTTCCCAAATCCCTCTGCCACCCAACTTAATTGGCCAGGAGTCCTTCCCTAGATCCTCATTGTAATCTCGCGTCGACTGCCAAGCACTGGTGCGCAACAAACTGTAAACTTTTTGGCCGTATAGATTTGGCCGAGCAGAGAAAGTCAGGGCCCGGTGGAAGAAGTAAACCACGGCAACCACACCTCAAAGCCCAGCCCTAAACCCCTAAACCC